AAAAAAAAAAAAAATAAACAAATAAAAAATAAAAAAAAGGGTGAAACTCAGTCTTTCACCTGCCAAATTTCTTTCTCTTTGCAACTGATTGTAAAAAAAAAAAATAATCCATTGTTCTCCAACTAATTTCTCAAGTACTCTTCCTCTGTCATATGGGTGTCCTGGCGGACTATATTGGCGCTCAACCATTTGCACAAACCGTAGGCTTCATTGATGAAGCCTACAACTTTGTTTGACCGTAAAAAGCAGATGTAAATAAATGTTATGCTTAAGCAGTTTTTGGTTTGTCTGGAAATTTATTCAAAAAAAAAAAAGAAAGAAAATTTCAATGTTTTTGCTTTTTGAGAGATTTTGGTTTTTTTGATACTATGTGAGTGACGATTTGGTGAAGATTATTTTAAATCTACAGGTTTGCAACAATTTACTGAGATCCAAAAATACGAATATGGATGAGAGAAATTTTTTTGAACAGATGGGTACAATTCAACAGATTTCGTGACTCTCCTAAATTACTCTGAATCAAATTCACAAATCATTGTATCCATCCAATAAAATTTGTGTGTATTTTTAACTCCTCTAAATTTTTCCATTTTCCAGGTTAATTAATTTTTAGCTATATTAAACAAACAAATATCGTCTAAATTATATCAATTTTAGGAAAAAACTCATCTATTTTTTCTTCATTCCTTATTTATTTATCTTTTATTTTGGTTTTTGATTTTTGAAAATCTCAAAGTCACGCAGTTTAAGATATCCCATTTTTTTTTGTCTGATATTATGCAAATAAATTTCTTTGTTCCTTCATTACTTCGTAAATAAATCAATGGTAAAAATTGCATCATAGCAAATAATATTTTTCAAAATTGTTCATGGTGAATTGTCAATTAAAAGATTACAAATAACTAAAGATATTTGATTACTGTTCCACGCAAATAAAAGCAAATATATAAATTTACAAGAAGATGCGGATAGTGATGATGACGGTAATGATGACAATGATGACATCAAAACATCAAAAATCATTTTCCACAAGGAGCGCAAAAAATTCCACACAAGTTTTTCAATTATCTTACCGGAAACGCACTATCTTAGCAGCAATCAGTCTGGGAAAGAAACATCAACTTTTTATTAAATGCTTGTTCTTTTTATAGACTTAAATAACTGGAGATAAGAGCAAACTAAATCAGTAGCTTCATGAAGAAACTGTGTTAATGATTAATTTTAAATATGGTACAAACCTGGATTGAACTTGATTTTCATGATAGAGTGCTCGAACCAGGAAATATTTTACATCGGCTAATGCTCGCATTAAATCTGGTTTGTCAACTGGGACTCTGAACCGAGAATTATACCAACCTTTGCCTTCTTTGATTGGAATCTGCACACTGATATTTTCGCGAGGAAAGAAATCCTGTCGGCTATAATACTCCAGTTTCACGCCATTACCCTGCAATAAAAAAATTGATGAAATTTGTGACGTAAAATTTCATGTTTTTTCCGGTGGCTTTTCAGATAAAAGTCCCTAAAAAATTACTGGCTTCTAAAATAGAATAAAACAATCAGTGAAACAGAATTTGAAATGTGAGTAATGACCTCAATAATAACGTCCGAAATTGGAACAGAACGTCCATGGTCATTAGGAACAAAGTAAACATAGTATTGCAGAGCTCCACCGTAACTGTTCAACTAAAATATGCATCAGTTGCTGAATGAATCATAACACTCGCAGAACTCCTGACACAAAAAAATGACTGATTCTGTTGAGGATTATTAAACGGTTTGATGACGAAACTTTACCAAATTCCCTAAGAAAGAAGCTGGTGCCTTCCAGTAGTACAGTTGATTACCCTTATAATCATTGGAATTGTATACCAACAACTCTTCATTTTCAATCTTTGGAGCAACATCTCTTTGACCGGTCAGGTCAGTTAATTTCCACCCCAAATTGTTACGAATCTGAAAAGCATTTTTAATAAATAAACTTAAAACAATCCTTTTTTTCTTTTCAAGTCAATTAAGAAAAGTGAAATATTTTGTTTCAAAAAACGGAATGTTCTTGATGCCCCTACTGTTCCTTTGAGCCAGTCTCTTTCTGTGCAGCTTTTACCCAGCCCGAAGCAAAAACACGGTTGGCATCCTTGAGGATCCTTACTGTTTAGGTTGATGGTTCCTGCCTAAAAAATCCTTGAAGAAATAAAGAGATTGTTCGACTTTGAAAAACTTTAAAAACTAATTAACCTTGCAACGATCGCAGTAGATTCCTTCGACATTCTGCTTACAGACACAGTTTTCCTCCTCACAAGTATCAAAATTAATCGAGCCAGCCTGATTGCACGGACATGGATCACATTTTGGATGGTTTCTGTAGCCAACTGCGCAGCGATCACAGCGCCGTCCGCCAAAACCGGGTTTACAAATGCAATCACCAGGTTTCTAAAGAAAAAAAAGTGACCAAATCAAAATTTTTACTAGATGGCTAATGTTATAAAGATACATTCTGTTTTTACCTGTCCATCAACTGCACTCGTTTCATCCCTTACACAGTTGCCATGCTCAGATCCAACTGGATCACAGTCGCATGGCCGACAAGCATCTTCTCTGTAATGTGTAACGCCAGACGGACGATAGTATGTCCACTTACACCGCTCACAGTTTATTCCATCTGTATTGTGCTACAATAAATCTCATTCAAACCTGCTAAAAAAGAACAGTTCTTTTTCTCGCGAGAGTTTCAACATTCGCAACAACCGCAGAGATTACTATTTTTTGACAAAAAAGTTTCTCTTGATCCATGTGGTATTCTTTTTTCAATAATTGGAGGGGTTTAACATCCTACCTTGCAATCAATACAGCGTCCGCCCCCTTCAAAAATACCCTCTGGTGTTAGACTAAGCCCTAGCCTCTCTATCTCTTCATCATAAACACATCGATCAGCGTGGTTGAAGCATTGACAAGCTAAAAACTGAGCCATGACAGTGAAAGCACGCAAACAACGATAAACTTCAAAATATTCATTTTTGAGTGTCAAAAAACACTTCTCAGCTACTTTGCTTCCAAAATAACTTTGAAAACAAACTTAGCACCTTGGCAAACATTTGGATGAGACTGCGTTCCTTGTCTCCATGGTAGTTGATTGTACAGAGGGCAGCATTGATGGCAAGATTCTCCGCAAGTATTGTGACGACATTCGCATTTGAATTGCTGCATTATTGAAATTCTGTTCAGTCGACTGGTGTAAAGAACAAATACTATAAAAATCTGTCAAAAGAAATAGGACTTAACCCACCCCAGTAACAGGATCAGGAGGACAAGTTTCTGCATGACCATAGCAGATACATTGACCGCCAATACTGATATCTTTAATTGCATAAAAATATCGCCTTGTTACCGATGTATCAAGCCGACTTCTTGCACCTTGGTTGTTAATAACCATTAGGTGTGCATTCAGAGTTCGAAGGCTCAACAAACGTAACCGAACAAATCGTGCTCTTGTAAAGTTCTGAATTTATTACTTGGTTAAATAAAGAAGTACAATAAAGTTTATAGTCACAGTTCTATCCTGTAAACGTATTACTGAGAAGCCTATCAAGTTTTTGAAGAAAAAAAATTATTTTTTCCTTGTTTACCTGCAGCACTTCTGATGCAGACTCAGCACTAGGTCTACCATTAATAAGTGACGTATGAATCTCACCATTCTCTAACGGATCTAACTTGGAGAAATACGATGTGCAAATCACCTGAAATTCATGATTGTGTTGAAAATAACTTTAAAAACTGGACAAAAAAAGTCATTTCATTTTTACTGTTCCCCATCAGTGAAATAAGTAGCCCAAAGAAGACAAGTTGCTTTAATTAATGCAGCAACGGTTTCGTACTCGGCCATATGACAGTCAACTTCAACTGCTACAAATTAAGAAGTACCTCGTCGTCTCTGGTAAATCTCGGTAATCCGCCAACAGAAGCCGGAACACCAAAAACTCGCATACATTCTGAATCGCTGATAGCAAAATACTGCCACGGTTGATAGTTGAAACCGTCAAGTGATTTCTCAAGTACCCATGTACCTGGCCGAGGAGCAATTGCACTCTTTACAATAATATAAGCAACCTGATATTCCTGAAGAGTTATAACACCGTCAAGCATTCTCACTTGTATATCCTTCTTCAGTTAAAAATTTAAACAAATAAATGCATTTAAATGTCGCGCCTACCAATAAGTGTTACATTATTAAGAAACAAAACCTTGAACAATGTACTTATTAAGAGCATTCTCTTTAAAAATGACAAGTAAGCCAAACTTTTCACCAGATATTTCCAATTTTTTCTTCTAAAAGTTGAAGAGAGGCAGGACAAGAAATTTTATTGTTTAACAGAAGGATTTTGAAAAATAGTATC